CCCTTTTAATGTCCCTCTCCACCGTAACCCTGTCCATGAAGGTCTACTTAAAACCACATGAGTGTAAGCGGGGGAAGCTTATAATGGCCATTTTGCTTACACTCCTCTTCTTTCTCCTCCTTGCTATCCCAATGGATGCTGTTCAGTACCTGGCCCTGTTTCAGAAAGATCCCTACCTCCTAGAATATGCGTTCATATGTGCCTCTCTTAACAGCACCATTAATCCTGCGATTTATTTCCTGGTAGGAAGGAAGAAGAGTCTTCATTCCCGGGAGAGAATTAAGAGTATTCTTGAGAATGTTTTAAAGGAGGAGGGAGACAGCAAAGGGGAATAGGAGATCCCCAGTGAAAATAAATATTGAAGCCTCCATAGAAGCTTAAGCTCTCTCCTTTTGTTATTACTGTATAGTTGAGCCTTTCCCCAGTCTGTGCCCTCTATCTGGTGTTATGGAAGTTGCGGTCTAAGTGGCAGAAGAATTTCCTAGTTGTTGTTGTTGTTTTCTGAAAAAAAAAATGCATGTACAGATTATTTAAAGTTAACAAACGTTTATTCATATCTAATAAGATACTGCTTGCTTTTGAAGAGGGATGGTTCTAATGCGACAGACTCTGAACTCGGCAGCAAAGAGTTACCTCACTGTAGGTGTTCATTCCTTTCTTGCAACATTGAAAATATACCCTAGGGCAGGGGTCTGCAACCCGTGGCACCGGAGCCGCATGTGGCTCTTTTACACCCTTGCCGCGGCTCCGGGGCGGATACTAGCGAGGGGAGCATTGTGCGCCCCAACACTCCCCACTGTGGCGGGCGCTGTACTGGCTGTGACATCGCATGGGGGCGGTGCGCCCGCCCGCCCGCCCGCTACATTGTAAGGGGCATGTACGCTGGTCACTGCATTGAAAGGGGGCATGTACGCTGGTCACTGTTTTGAAGGGGAGTGAAGAACACACACACACAAAAAGGTAACTTGTTAATTTAATGTTCATTTCTATGAGGAGGAGTAATTCTGAGGGGTCAAACAAAGAAATAATTTTAAAAAGTGACAAAAAAGTTCTGTTTATAATGACGAGTTTTGCGGCTCCCAGGTTTTTTTCCTTCGGAAACGGGTCCAAGTGGCTCTTTTTGTCTTAAAGGTTGCAGACCCCTGCCCTAGGGGCTCATACTGGTATGGGCTCAAACTGGAAGTATGGCTGGCCATGAGCACCTTTCATATTATAACGCTGTGTGTGCATGCACACTTGTGGAGTTATATGTGATGCTAAGAGCATATAAACTGATGCTTTGCATGGAATTCAGGAAAGAACCATAATGTTTGTGTGCATGTTCCACAGACTTTTGCTTGGTCTGTTTTTTTGTATTGGAGGTAGCTACAAGCTGCTCCTTGCATTGAGTGTTTGAGATGAGGACGTGGATTATGGAAAGTTGTGTGTGTGTGTGTGTGTGTGCTTAGTGAATGGTCACAGAAATCAGACAGCGAGAAATATTCAAACATACATACCTTACAGGCCTCCAAAGTAGACCCCTCTGATACAAGGCACCATTGACAACATTCGTAGAACTGTCGGAAACTTCTGGAGAAGTCTCTTTTTGTACTGCTTTCAGTTCCCTTGTCTCAGCAGCTTGGACGTGTGAAAATCTGTGCCCTTTCAGTGCAGATTTCAGTTTTGGAAAAATAAATCTGAGTCCAGATCAGGAGAATATGGAGGGTGGGACAACTCGGTAACCTCAGTAACAATTTCACACAGAATATAAAATTCTTCCACCACCATTCAGATGGACAAACACCGATCCTGCATCAATAACTCATGAACTCTGTGACATTTGCCATCGTTCTGCTTGTCGACAGTCTACCAGACCGAGGGTCATCTTTGATGGTTTTCCACTCTTCATGGAAATGCGTAAAACCACTCATACACTGTATTTTGTGTTACAGCTTCATCTCGGTACACAATTGTAACCATTTCATGGGTTTCCAATGCCAATTGTATCTTCAAATATTTCTCCCTGTCCACCTAAACATTAGGAAGAACTTCCTGACAGTAAGAGCTGTTCGACAGTGGAATTTGCTGCCAAGGAGTGTGGTGGAGTCTCCTTCTTTGGAGGTCTTTAAGCAGAGGCTTGACAACCATATGTCAGGAGTGCTCTGATGGTGTTTCCTGCTTGGCAGGGGGTTGGACTCGATGGCCCTTGTGGTTTCTTCCAACTCTATGATTCTATGATTCTATGATTTCTGTGACCATTCACCGAATTGTTCAGTCACACCTTGTGCGCGCGCACACACACACACACACACACACACACACCTGCCTGGACACCTGTGTCAGGGAGAATTTGATGGAGGAAGTGACAGAAGAGGCAGAGCAGGGGGTCGGAGATGCTGTGGAGCCTTTCAACCGGCCAGAGACAGAGGAAGTAGAAGAGAGGGTGGAGAATAGCCACGAGGAGGAAGGGCTCAGGGATGTTGCAGAGCCCTTCCACCGCCCAGAGGCCCGGGAAGGGAGCTCAGACTCTGGAAGGGAGGGGGCTTTCAAATCAGCACAGACAAGGAGGGAAATAAAACATAAGGGTCAAATATGTCTCACACGATTCCCCCACCTACTTTGTTTGTGCGGGAATCAAAGAAAGCCACTCCCCAAATCTGACTCAACGGGTTCAGACGCACAATCCTGAACTGTAGCTGTTTCTTGTACATATGTAATAAAGACTGTAAATATCAAGCTGACTGTGCCAGGGTGTTAATGCGAAGGGGAGACACCACCATTACAACATGGTACATCCCTTTGATGCACTGCCACCTTTCCCTCTCCTCCAAGCCCATCCCCACAGTAAATAGTCTTCTGTGATTTTTATGGTGACTTATATTGACTGTGTAATTTTCTCTTTTAGTGAGCTACTTTGTTCCAATATGCATATGTTCCCACCCAGTCACCCTGAGACCTCTGAGTATTGGGTGGATTGCAAAAGATCTAAATAAATAAGTGATGGGTTTATTCTACTTTACTTTGTTTTGCGATGCTTCTCCTGTGCTACCACATCCCTGCTGCAAGGAGGGGCTAGAGCTGAAAAAAGCAGGACAAAAACATAAACTGGAGCATTTGTGTCATGGCATAATTTTTTCCAGAATTTCAGCAGAATGTTCCCAGGTTGGTAATGAAGCCGTGCAACTGCCCCCCAAGAACTCTGTGGTCACGATTCACATCCACACAGTTCTCATAGTAAAGGGGGAAAGTATCCCTTCCCATCCTTTGCTAGTGGGTCACAGGGGGCATCTGAACATGTGTCTAGGAATTGGGAAGCGAGCTGATGGCTCCTGCTTTAGGAAACATCGTTGCCTGGCTTATATTTTGATTTGGATATTTATATTTATTTGTTGCTTTGCAGATCCTCCATCTCATTATATTTGAATAAATTTATCGTTTCCCACCAGTTATGGTTTCTTGGTTCTTCTTTAAGGGTGTGCTGGCAAATGATGACACTCTTGTTTCCTACAGTTTATGTGCGTAATCATGGGTGTGTACACTGATAATGAAAAGATAGCACATGAACCTGATGAACGAAAACGGGGGGGGGGGGGGCTTGCTTCCTGAACTGGCAACCTCGCTCTGCCTAATGAAAGGACTAGACCTTTTTAGGACAGAAAGACTTATATGTCAAGAGGTTCCTCCCCCTAAAATCACTGATTGCTATCTTGATCTGCAATAAAGCTACACGTTAGTTCCCTTCTATGAGGCTGAAAAAGCCAGGCTGGCAAGCAAGCAGAATCTAGGGTGCATCTTGCAACGAATTTGGTGGAAATCACTTCATATTCCCTTGATGGTTGCAGCATTTTCTCTTCAGGACTCCCCACAGCACTCCCATTCAAGATACAACACCGTTGCTGCTTTTCTTTTCCCACACCACAGCTGAAGACTGCTGATCGGTGCCTACTCACAGGTATGAAAACCTGCCAGATAAATTTTCTGGACTCCCAACTCAGAGATGAATGCTAATGACTCTGTAATGGTTGTCTCAAAAGCTTCTAGCCATGCTGGATGTGTTTCACCCTTCACTGTTGCAGGCAGTATGTCTCTGAATACCAGTTGCTAGAAATCCCATATGAGGAGAGAGCTATTGCAGCTGGATTCCGCTTGAAGGCTTCCGTAGGTACTTATCTGACTACTTTGATAACAAGATTCTGGATGCGATGAGCCTCTGTCCAGACCTTCTGTTTGCATATTTTCTGAAATTTTATCTTTTATAATTTTAAACTGTAATTCATCTTTTCTGGCAACAATAAAGGCAAAGAAGTTGGTAGATTCCCCCCTAAAATAAAACCTCAGTTTGTTACAAAATTAAATTGTTCAGGCAATGCCATGTTTCACATTGTTGTTGTTTCATAAGAAGCATGGCAAAACTCTTATTTGTTTCTCAGCTTGGCCTCAAAGCAGTTTCCTCCAAATATCTAATACAGTGGTACCTTGGGTTACATACGCTTCAGGTTACAGACACTTCAGGTTACAGACTCCGCTAATGCAGAAATAGTACCTCGGGTTAAGAACTTTGCTTCAGGATGAGAACAGAAATCGTGCTCCGGCAGTGCAGCAGCAGGAGGAGGCCCCATTAGCTAAAGTGGTGCTTCAGGTTAAGAACAGTTTCAGGTTAAGAACGGACCTCTGGAACGAATTAAGTACTTAACCAGAGGTACCACTGTAGTAGCTTTCTGCATTAATATCTAAGAACTGGTATATCAACAATGCTGTGATTATGTCCAAAAGATTTGTTGACCTCTGCAAATAATTTACGGCAGACGTTGACTGTTTTAGAGACAAGATTATTGACATGTGTAAAGGTAAAGGTAAAGGTAAAGGTAAAGGGATTCCTGACCGTTAATAGGTAATTGCAGAATTCTTCATGCAAGAAATGAGCACTGCAAATACTATAATAAATATTTCAATACTTTTGAAATTATGTTTCTTTTCTCCTAGCAAGTCTCTCTCCATCAGAAAAGCAGAAACTGACCAGGATGGCAAATTTCTGCCAGTCAGTTCTGTCCCAGCTGGATGCTGGAAAAGAACACAATGGAATGCAAAGTATCCCAACGAATGACAACTGTGATCCAATGAGCTGTGCCACTAGTTCTTTAGCAATGTTTTTCATGATCACCTTCACTTTGCTTATCTGCCTTTTTGGATTTGTGGGAAATGGGACAGTCATCTGGCTCCTGGCATTCCGCATCAAGAGGAATCACTTCACCACCTACATCCTGAACCTCTCCATTGCTGACTTTGGCGTACTCACTGCTGTAGTTGCTATTGATTTGAACTGGATTGTATGTAAGTCATATCCCTTGCATTTTGAGCTTCTAAGGTCATTGTTTTACACTGGCTTCCTATTCACATACAGTGCTAGCCAGTTTCTACTGACGGTCATCAGCATTGACAGGTGCGTGTGTGTCTTTTTCCCCATTTGGTATCATTTACATAAGCACAAACACCTGTCCGCCATCGTGTGCCCCGCAATATGGATCCTTGCCTTCCTACCTTCTGGAATTCACATCACACTGGTGCTAACTGGGAAATATTGTGATCTAAGCTCCTACCAGTTTCTTGTCAATGCCCTGCTCTGCACCCTGTTAATGTCCTTCTCCACTGCAACCCTGTCCTGGAAGGTCTACTTCAGACCACAACAGTGTAAGCAGAGGAAGCTTTTAACAGCCATCTTGATTACTCTCCTGCTTTTCCTCCTCCTTGCTATCCCAATGGATGCTGTTCAGTACCTGGCCCTGTTTCATAAAGATCCCTACGTCCTGGAATATGCATTCATATGTTCCTCTCTTAACAGTACTGTTAACCCAGTGATTTATTTCCTGGTAGGAAGACAGAAGGGCCGTCGTTTGCGGGAGTTAATTAAAAGTATCCTTGAGAATATCTTAAAGGAGGAGGAAGAAAGCAGAGAGGAACCGGAATTCCCCAGTCAAAATGTAATAGGCTAAATAGAAGTTTAAGCTCCCCACTTTGAGTTTATATAGTTCAGCCTTCTCACACTTGGTTCCCTCCATCAACTGTGTTGGACACTGTAGTTCAAATCATATGGAGAGCACCGAGTGAATCAAGTCTTTCATAGTTTAAAGCAATACAAGTAAAAATCTCGTAAAGTTATGAAACATTTCTTCCAATCCAAGAAGATACAGAGAGAATACCTTATTTCCTCAGAAAAAGGATGATGCCACTCCAACAGACTTCAAATACTGTGTCCAGTTCTAGGCACCACCATTTAAGAAGGATGCTGACAAGCTGGAACGTGTGCAGAGGAGGGCAAACAAGATGATCAAGGGTCTGGAAACCAAGCCTTATGAGGAATGGTTGAGGGAGTTGGGCATGTTTAGCCTGGGGCATAGGATACTGAGAGGAGATAGCATATCCTTCTTCAAATATCTCAAGTGCTATCACATGGGACATGGAGCAAACCTGTTTTCTCCTGCTCCAGAGGGTAGGAACCAAACCAATGTATTCAAATTACATGAAATGAGATTACAGGAAATTACAGGAAATGAGGCTAAACATCAGGAATAACTTTCTGATGGTAAGAGCTGTTCAACAGTGGAGCTCTCCTTCCTTAGAGGTTTTTAAATAGAGGTTGATTGGCCATCTGTCAGGGATTATTTAGCCGAGATTCCTGCATACCAGGTGGTTCGATTAGATGATCCTCAAGATCCCTTCCAATTATACAAATCTATGATTCTGTTACTGCATCATAGACATATCAAATTGTTTTTTGTGTGAATTTTATTGCTTTATTCTTTTTGTAAACTGCTTGGGGTTTTTTTTCTTACAATCATGTAGTAAATACTGTAAATTTTGTGGAAAATCAAAGTAATAAAAGCAGACTCTTTGTTATATGCTTTGTGTGCATGATTGTGTGGTTATCTATAATCCTAAGAGAATATAAACTGAGGGAAAGAACCACAGGTTTGGGGTTCATGTTCCACAGCTTTGGCTGTGTGTCTTGCCTGTCCATATCTGAGGTAACTACAAGCTTCCCTCTTGCTCTAAGTGTTTTTCCTGAAGATGCGGATTATGGAAGGTGTGATCAGAAATATGACTGTTTCTCCTTTATTTCTCTCTCTCTCTCTTGTTCTATATTTCCTGCTTTTCCTTTTCTCTCTTTTTCTCTATGTTCTTATTGTTTTCATATTAATGTTTTAGGGTTTTTTTGGCGGGGTATATATGATATAAAGCTTTGTATTTCTCTTTGTAAATCCTAAATAAAAATTCTTCCAAAAAAGGAGAAAAATATATATAGCAGGGGTGAATTTGCTACAAAACCTTTTTTTGGAGAAGACATGAATTGGTCTCATCTGCAAGAATGGATCTTGGCAGGCACCCTGAGGCATTATTAGGTTTAAGGGCACTCTTGGGTCACCTTGGTGAATGGTGGACTCTGGAGCCCAGATGTGCCTGTTGGGGTCACATACCTAAGACTTACTTAGCAAGGAAGGAGTCCCCATTTGTTCCAAGTCAAGTTGCTGCATTCAGTACCAGCTACCTATCTGTAACTGGAACTATGGAAGGCACCACATTGAGCCGCATGAAATGGAAGTCCATCAACCTGGCTACCTATCTGTAATCAGTACCAGCTGACGTTTACAGCCCATGCCAAGGGCAGCTCCCCAAATACTTCATTACAGTAATCCAAACTCCAAGTTACCAAACAAAGTACTACAGAAAGGACTATACCCTGGTCAACATACAGCTTCAATTCAAGTCAGTTTCTGAAGAGGAAAACCATGCAGACTTTCACTCCAGCACTTTGACCTGTTCCTGTGCAGAAGGTGGTCTCTGGAAGTGCTACCCAGCTCGCCTAGCCCAGTCGGGGCTGAAGTGTATGAGTCCAGTTAGTGGCACTGGCTCAAGGGCGATGCTGACAGCCATTGCACATCACCATAGCTCAAAATGTACTACTGTGAGAACAGGGCAAGTGTCTAAGACCAGCTCACCAATTTCAGAATAAGGTTTATTTTCCATATGATGGCTCTCATTTCCTGTAACTGGCCTTTACAGTAGTGGGCTTGCTATCTGCTGTGCTAATGGCAGAACAGGATGTGAATCTGTTAAGTCCCGTTCCATGCCCGATAAGCATGGGGCACCTTTGTCTGGTGGCACTGTGGCCCATTGATTGCAGCAAAATACTGGGCAAAGAGGGGAGGGAAAAGCCTAGGTAAGGCTGCTTCCCCCAGAGCTCACAGCCATTTTGCTGTGGGTCCCGTAATGCACCAGCCAGGGCAAATACATGATACCCAAAACCAGCTGCCTAAAGCAGAAAACTCACTCTGCTCTTTTAGGAGAGAAAACCTCATGTGGCAAGAGGCTTCTCCTCTAAGGTCACTAATGACTATATTGACAGGTGATAAATAACATTTTATTCTCCCTGTATGAGGCTGGCAAGCTAAGAAGAGGTGGAGATCAATGGAATCAGCTGTGCATCTTGCAGTGAATTTGGTCAAAATCATGTAAATTTCAGAGCGGCAATGTTTCCCCCACAAGTCTGTCCACCATACATCATTCTGGCACAGAGTACAATAGCCCTGCGGCTTCCCACACACCGTATCTGAAGACTACGCTTTTTCACAGGTATTCAACCCTGCTGCAGAATATCGCTGGAATCTCACTCAGGTAATGGGCATTAGTGACTGTAGTGACTCCTTTCCTCAAAGGAGAGGAAAGCGATAAAACCTTCTGACTCCTCCACTAGCTCTGCTCCTTTGAATTTTTCAGTTGTACCACCCTGGGCCGCTCTTGAGATACAAATTAATTTAATGTATTTAAATGAATAAATATAATGAATGAATATATCAGTCAAATTGGAGTTGGACTTTACTGTCAAAATCTTTGTAGTAAATGATATACAAGAGAAGACAGTATGTAAACGGCTTAAAGCAGCGGTATATCTGTCCACCATATTTTTTGTTGATTGCAGTACTCATTGTATCACCACCCTGTTCATTGTTTTATTGTCACTTTCACTTGTGAGCAAACTGGATGTGGCTCAAAGAAGGTAGGTAGGACATTCCATGTAAGTATTCTCCCCAGCCCCCTTGATACCACATTCCTTTTCCCCCCTTTTTTGTGGCACCATCTCTCTCCTCCTCCTCCTGCACAACTAAAAAAAAAACCTTTTCTCAAAACCTTTGATTTAAGTTCTTATCCCTCATCCTAACCAAAATAAATCTCCAAATGTCTTTGCTAACAGTCATCATTATTTGCTCTCTCCCCCTCTGTCTCCTGTTCCATTGTCTTTCCCTTTCTTGTTTTAAACATGAATTCTATGTTAGAGATGAGTAAGAAAGACATTGAAGACCTAGGCAAGAATTTCAATCCTTCATCCTAGTCAAATTCCTACAGCCCTGTCAGCCATGCATGCTGCCTTCTGTAATAGCACGAGTAAGTCTGTTACTGGTTGTCGAAGGAAGGCTCAAAGCTTAGGGAGAAAACTGGGAAGAGATGGGGCCCTATACCAGTTGTTGGAAGAGAAATGTTTTCTTGGGTTAATCAAAATGAAAGGAAGCAGTCATGAAGCCAAGTTCTCATCCTGTAACTATTGTGCTGAACCAAAATATGAAGCAGGCTTTACTTTCTGGACAGTTCTGCTTGTAGATGGATATGTAATTATGCAGAAAATCTCTGGGGAAACAGAGCAAGACAAATAGGCAGTTTTCAGCTAGTAATCTATATATCTCCTCAGCAGTTCACTGCTAGGCAGTTGTGGTCTAATATCATAGCTATCTTGCTTTGACACATGCAGATAAGATTTTTGGTGCTAGAGTGAAGAAACGTATCATAAATTCATATTCACACACATCTCTTCACAGTCCCATTCCTGTTATTTTATTATTTTTTAATCTGTTATTAATTTTAAATTGTTGTAACCTGTCCTGGGACCTGTTGATGAAGTACAGGTAATAAATTTAACAACAGCAGCAGAAAGCAACAACAGCAACAAAACAATTGCATGCCTCAAGAGGGAGAGGGAGAAAAACTATAAGACATCACCAATTATCTGTAACAGAGGGGTGATGCTGTACAACTTGCCATGGTCTTCATGGTGCTTGTTACATTGACCACAATTTTTGTGTTTCTTTCTCTCTCTCTCTCTCTCTCTCTCTCTCTCTCTCTCTCTCTCCCTCTGTGTGTGTGTGTGTTGTATATTCATAACTCTTTTCACCATGTTGAACATGGAAATATGGAACCATGACAAGATTCTACTAAGTGAAGGCAGTTCATCTGATTAAGTCTCCCGATTCCCTACTTCTTCCAAATCAACTTCTTCCAAGAGTGCTTACTAATAATGTCATCACTGATCATATTTTCCATTCAGAAGCTCCCTTTCTTGCATTTTATTGGTTCTTATGTGCCTCTCGGAACAGCAGTGTTAACCCGTTCATCTATTTCCTGGTTGGGAGAACGAAAAGAGGCAGACCTATAGTGAGCATGAAGGTGATACTCCAGAATGCTTTCAGAGTTGAGGAAAACTCTCCAGAGGAAGAGGAGACTGCTGCTGAAACACAGTTGTGATGGTTCCAAAAGATCATGTCTAGATGTATCATTATAGTTCTAAAAACATTCTTGTTTTTAGACTGAGCCCATAAGTTTCTGTTGCATTGTATTTAGCCTTGTTGACCTATGTTCAATTGGGCTACTGCTTTCATGGTGTACATAATATTTCACCCATGAGCAAGAGATTCAACTAGTTCGTCATTAGTAAATATACATAGCTTTGGGTTTTGTTGCCTGTCACCTTGTTGACTTCATATCCTCATCTGCAGGGCTTTGGCTTAGCGTGCAAAACGTCCTGGATTCACTCAGTGGCAGCTCCAGGTAGGGACAGGAATGATTCCTGCCTATATCCTGCTGATCAGTGTCAGCAATCTGAGCTAGGTAGAATAATGGTCTTGTCTTGTACAAGGCAGTTTTCTATATTTATTTATTCAGAGGT